CCCCAACCTGCAGTCCCCAAATGCCGCCCCCAAACCAGCCCTGCCGCCGGGCCCCCTGAAGGCGGCCCTGGCGGCGGGCCCCCCTCCCGGCCGGGCCCTCGGACCATGTCCGAAGTGCCCGACCGGTCAGTCCGCCCCTGGGCGTCTGGGCCCTCTGGTGGGCCAGGCCTGGTCGCCGCGACCCTTGCAACCCCAGTATGTACGCCACTGGTTCCAGGGCCTCAGTCAAGCCACGGCGACTGTGGGCAGAAGGGCTGCAGTATGTCCCCTGTTACAGCTAGGAAGCAGTCCTTGGCGGAGGTACCCAGCCAGGGGTACAGAGAGCTCTGTTACAGTACCCACTGAGCCAAAAGCCGGCTAGTGGTTAGCATTAAAAAGATGTGCCCACTGAGCCAAAAGCCGGCTAGTGGTTAGCATTAAAAAGACGTGCCCACTGAACCAAAAGCTGGCTAGTGGTTAGCATTAAAAAGACGTGCCCACTGAACCAAAAGCTGGCTAGTGGTTGGCATTAAAAAGACGTGCTAGTGGTTGGCATTAAAAAGACGTGCCCACTGAACCAAAAGCCGGCTAGTGGTTGGCATTAAAAGGACGTGCCCACTGAACCATAAGCTGACTAGTGGTTGGCATTAAAAGGACGTGCCAACTGAGCCAAAAGCCAGCTGTTGGTTGGCATTAAAAGGATGTGCCCACTGAGTCAAAAGTCAGGTAGTGGTTGGCATTAAAAGGACGTGCCCACTGAGCCTAAAGCCAGCTGGTGGTTGGCATTAAAGGTTAAAAGGAAATGGTTGGACCACGGAGGAGGTTAGAACCTGGTGGGGCTTATGAATTGAACATATGTAATTGGTCAGTTTGAGATTGGCAAGAACATTTAACGTGTTATTTCTTGCTGTTATCGGTTATAAAGAGTTATACATTTATAATAAAGAAGGATGTGGTATACAGTATTTACATGTTTAATAACTGCTATGGCCTGTTTTATGCAAGTCGATGTCTCATTATTGGGTGAGGTTGCGAGTAGGTTGTGTTTGGATTGCTATTGTTATCCAGTGTCCACTACGTACATAGATGAGGTGTACGGCATTTATTAAAAGTAGAAGAATGGAATTGCGTTGAGTCTGGCAACATCTCCATTAATGCTCCCACGCGGTTCATGACTCCCATAAAATGGTAACCGCAGAGTGTATTATATCACACAGTGTCTGACTCTGCTCCAACTTCCTTCACTCTCAACATGCCTCCTGGCCCCTCATAGTACGGAGACGTATACTCACGGTGACCATAGCAACTATCCACACCGCGTAGTATCCTCAAATAACTTCTCAGGCACATGGGTGGGTCAAGGTAAAATAAGGCATCACAAGAACAATGTATTTTGTGGGCCTTTTGCCTCTTGGTATGTTACAGGTAAAACAAAAACTCATTGAACCACTTTACCTGTGAAAATAGTTGTAGTAGAAATATCTGCTCCAGTAGTGTGAGATATAGCTATTCCAGGTGAAGTAACAGTTGTGGTAGTTGAGGAAAACGTTGTGGGAGAAGTTTCAAAAACTGTTGTTTGGGGAGCAGTTGTGGTTGTTTGGGGTGCAGTGGTGGTTGTTTGTTGTACAATTGAGGTTGTTTGTGGTACAGTGGTGGTTGTTTGGGGAGCAGTTGTGGTTGTTTGGGGTACAGTGGTGGTTATTTGAGGTACAGTGGTGGTTGTTTGGGGTGCAGCTGTGGTTGTTTGGGGAGCATTGGTGGTTGTTTGGGGTGCAGTTGAGGTTGTTTGGGCTTCAGTTGTGGTTGTTTGGGGTTCAGTTGTGGTTGTTTGGGGATCAGCGGTGGTTGTTTGGGGAGCAGTTGTGGTTGTTTGGGGTGCAGTTGTGGTTGTTTGGGGTGCAGTTGTGGTTGTTTGGGGTTCAGTTGTGGTTGTTTGGGGTGCAGTGGTGGTTGTTTGGGGAGCAGTTGTGGTTGTTTGGGGAGCATTGGTGGTTGTTTGGGGTGCAGGTGAGGTTGTTTGGGGTACAGTTGTGGTTGTTTGTGGTTCAGTTATTGTTGTTTGGGGTTCAGTTGTGGTTGTTTGGGGTGCATTGGTGGATGTTTGGGGTTCAGTTGTGGTTGTTTGGGAATCAGCGGTGGTTGTTTGGGGTTCAGTTGTGGTTGTTTGGGGAGCAGTTGTGGTTGCTTGGGAAGCAGCGGTGGTTGTTTGGGGAGCAGTTGTGGTTGTTTGGGGTACAGTGGTGGTTGTTTGAGGTACCACTGTGCTTGTTTGGGGTGCAGTTGTGGTTGTTTGGGGTTCAGTTGTGGTTGTTTGGGGTTCAGTGGTGGTTGTTTGGGGAGCATTGGTGGTTGTTTGGGGTTCAGTTGTGGTTGTTTGGGGAGCAGTTGTGGTTGTTTGGGGAGCAATGGTGGTTGTTTGGGGAGCAGTTGTGGTTGTTTGGGGAGCAGTTGTGGTTGTTTGTGGTTCAGTTATTGTTGTTTGGGAATCAGCGGTGGTTGTTTGGGATTCAGTTATTGTTGTTTGGGGTTCAGTTGTGGTTGTTTGGGGTTCAGTTGTGGTTGTTTGGGGAGCAATGGTGGTTGTTTGGGGTACAGTTATTGTTGTTTGGGGTACAATGGTTGTTGTTTGGGGAGCAGTTGTGATTGTTTGGGGTTCAGTTGTGGTTGTTTGGGGAGCAGTTGTGGTTGTTTGGGAAGCAGCGATGGTTGTTTGGGGAGCAGTTGTGGTTGTTTGGGGTACAGTGGTGGTTGTTTGAGGTACCGCTGTGCTTGTTTGGGGTGCAGTTGTGGTTGTTTGTGGTTCAGTTATTGTTGTTTGGGGTTCAGTTGTGGTTGTTCGGGGTGCATTGGTGGATGTTTGGAGTTCAGTTGTGGTTGTTTGGGGTTCAGTTGTGGTTGTTTGGGATTCAGTTGTGGTTGTTTGGGGTTCAGTTGTGGTTGTTTGGGGAGCAGCGGTGGTTGTTTGGGGTGCAGTTGTGGTTGTTTGTGGTTCAGTTACTGTTGTTTGGGGTACAATGGTGGTTGTTTGGGGAGCAGTTGTGGTTGTTTCGGGTGCAGTTGTGGTTGTTTGGGGAGCAGTGGTGGTTGTTTGGGGATCAGCGGTGGTTGTTTGGGGTACAGTTATTGTTGTTTGGGGTACAATGGTGGTTGTTTGGGGAGCAGTTGTGGTTGTTTGGGGTTCAGTGGTGGTTGTTTGGGGAGCAGTTGTGGTTGTTTGGGGATTCAGACTGCGGTTGATTGGGGTAATGGTGGTTGTTTGGGAGCAGTGGTGGTTGTTTGGGGTTCAGTTGTGGTTGTTTGGGGTACAATGGTGGTTGTTTGAGGGCAGTTGTGGTTGTTTGGGGTTCATTTGTAGTTTGTTTGGGGAGGCGGTGGTGGTTGTTTGGGATTCAGTTGTGGTTGTTTGGGGAGCAGTTGTGATTGTTTGGGGAGCAGTTGTGGTTGTTTGGGAATCAGCGGTGAAGTTTGTTTTGGGGTTCAGTTGTGGTTGTTTGGGGAGCAGTGGTGGTTGTTTGAGGTTCATTTGTAGTTTGTTTGGGGAGCAGTGGTGGTTGTTTGGGGTTCAGTTGTGAAGTTTGTTTGGGATTCAGTTGCGGTTGATTGGGGTACAATGGTAGTTGTTTGGGGAGCAGTGGTGGTTGTTTGGGGTTCAGTTGTGGTTGTTTGGGGTACAATGGTGGTTGTTTGTGATTCAGTTGTGGTTGTTCGGGGTTCAGTTGTGGTTGTTTGGGGAGCAGCGGTGGTTGTTTGGGGTGCAGTTGTGGTTGTTTGTGGTTCAGTTACTGTTGTTTGGGGTACAATGGTGGTTGTTTGGGGAGCAGTTGTGGTTGTTTCGGGTGCAGTTGTGGTTGTTTGGGGAGCAGTGGTTGTTTGGGGAGCATTGGTGGTTGTTTGGGGTTCAGTTGTGGTTGTTTGGGGAGCAGTTGTGGTTGTCTGGGGTTCAGTTGTGGTTGTTTGGGGTTCAGTGGTGGTTGTTTGGGGAGCAGTGGTGGTTGTTTGGGGTTCAGTTGTGGTTGTTTGGGGAGCAGTTGTGGTTGTTTGGGGAGCAGTTGTGGTTGTTTTGGAATCAGCGGTGGTTGTTTGGGGTTCAGTTGTGGTTGTTTGATAAGCAGCGGCGGTTGTTTGGGATTCAGTTGTGGTTGTTTGGGAATCAACGATGGTTGTTTGGGGTTCAGTTGTGGTTGTTTGGGGAGCAGCGGTGGTTGTTTGTGGTTCAGTTATGGTTGTTTGGGGTTCAGTTGTGGTTGTTTGGGGTTCAGTTGTGGTTGTTTGGGGAGCAGTTGTGGTTGTTTGAGGGAGCAATGGTGGTTGTTTGAGGTACAGTTGTGGTTGTTTGGGGTTCAGTTGTGGTTGTTTGGGGAGCAATGGTGGTTGTTTGGGGTACAGTTATTGTTGTTTGGGGTACAATGGTTGTTGTTTGGGGAGCAGTTGTGGTTGTTTGGGGTTCAGTTGTGGTTGTTTGGGGTTCAGTGGTGGTTGTTTGGGGAGCATTGGTGGTTGTTTGGGGTTCAGTTGTGGTTGTTTGGGGAGCAGTTGTGGTTATTTGGGGAGCAATGGTGGTTGTTTGGGGAGCAGTTGTGGTTGTTTGTGGTTCAGTTATTGTTGTTAGGGGAGCAGCGGTGGTTGTTTGGGGTGCAGTTGTGGTTGTTTGTGGTTCAGTTATTGTTGTTTGGGGTTCAGTTGTGGTTGTTTGGGGAGCAGTTGTGGTTGTTTGGGGAGCATTTGTGGTTGTTTCGGGTGCAGTTATGGTTGTTTGGGGAGCAGTTGTGGTTGTTTGGGGAGCAGTGGTGGTTGTTTGGGGTTCAGTTGTGGTTGTTTGGGGTTCAGTGGTGGTTGTTTGGGGAGCATTGGTGGTTGTTTGGGGTTCAGTTGTGGTTGTTTGGGGAGCAGTTGTGGTTGTTTGGGGAGCAATGGTGGTTGTTTGGGGAGCAGTTGTGGTTGTTTGGGGAGCAGTTGTGGTTGTTTGTGGTTCAGTTATTGTTGTTTGAGGAGCTGTGGTGGTTGTTTGGGGTGCAGTTGTGGTTGTTTGTGGTTCAGTTATTGTTGTTTGGGGTTCAGTTGTGGTTGTTTGGGGAGCAGTTGTGGTTGTTTGGGGTTCAGTTGTGGTTGTTTGGGGTTCAGTTGTGGTTGTTTGGGGTTCATTGCTGGTTGTTTGGGGTTCATTGCTGGTTGTTTGGGGTTCAGTTATTGTTGTTTGGGGTACAGTGGTGGTTGTTTGGGGAGCAGTTGTGGATGTTTCAGGTGCATTGGTAGTTGTTTGGAGTGCATTGGTGGATGTTTGGGGTTCAGTTGTGGTTGTTTGGGGATCAGCAGTGGTTGTTTGGGGAGCAGTTGTGGTTGTTTGGGGTGCAGTTGTGGTTGTTTGTGGAGCATTGGTGGTTGTTTGGGGTTCAGTTGTGGTTGTTTGGGGAGCAGTGGTGGTTGTTTGGGGAGCATTGGTGGTTGTTTGGGGAGCATTGGTGGTTGTTTGGGGTTCAGTTGTGGTTGTTTGGGGAGCAGTTGTGGTTGTTTGGGGAGCACTGGTGGTTGTTTGGGGAGCAGTTGTGGTTATTTGTGGAGCATTGGTGCTTGTTTGGGGTGCAGTTGAGGTTGTTTGGGGTACGGTGGCGGTTGTTTGAGGTACCGCTGTGCTTGTTTGGGGTGCAGTTGTGGTTGTTTGTGGTTCAGTTATTGTTGTTTGCGGTACAGTGGTGGTTGTTTGGGGAGCATTTGTGGTTGTTTCAGGTGCAGTTGTGGTTGTTTGGGGAGCAGTTGTGGTTGTTTGGGGTTCAGTTGTGGTTGTTTGGGGTTCAGTTGTGGTTGTTTGGGGAGCAGCTGTGGTTGTTTGGGGAGCAGTTGTGGTTGTTTGGGGTTCAGTTGTGGTTGTTTGGGATTCCGTTGCGGTTGTTTGGGGAGCAGTTGTGGTTGTTTGGGGAGCATTGGTGGTTGTTTGGGGTGCAGTTGAGGTTGTTTGGGGTACAGTGGTGGTTGTTTGAGGTACCGCTGAGCTTGTTTGGGGTGCAGTTGTGGTTGTTTGTGGTTCAGTTATTGTTGTTTGGGGTTCAGTGGTGGTTGTTTGGGGTGCATTGGTGGATGTTTGGGGTTCAGTTGTGGTTGTCTGGGGAGCAGTTGTGGTTGTTTGGGAATCAGCGGTAGTTGTTTGGGGTTCAGTTGTGGTTGTTTGGGGAGCAGTGGTGGTTGTTTGGGGTGCATTTGTGGTTGTTTGGGGAGCTGTGGTGGGTGTTTGGGGAGCAGTGGTCGTTGCTTGGGATTCAGTTGTGGTTGTTTGGGGAGCAGTTGTGGTTGTTTCGGGAGCAGTGGTGGTTGTTTGGGGTTCAGTTGTGGTTGTTTGGGGTGCATTGGTGGTTGTTTGGGGAGCAGTGGTGGTTGTTTGGGGAGCAGTTGTGGTTGTTTGGGGAGCAGTGGTGGCTGCTTGGGATTCAGTTGTGGTTCTTTGGGGAGCATTGGTGGTTGTTTGGGGAGCAGTTGTGGTTGTTTCGGGAGCAGTGGTGGTTGTTTGGGGTTCAGTTGTTGTTGTTTGGGGTGCATTGGTGGTTGTTTGGGGAGCAGTGGTGGTTGTTTGGGGAGCAGTTGTGGTTGTTTGGGGAGTAGTGGTGGTTGTTTGGGGAGCAGTTGTGGATGTTTCAGGTGCAGCGGTAGTTGTTTGGGGTGCATTGGTGGATGTTTGCAGTTCAGTTGTGGTTGTTTGGGCTTCAGTTGTAGTTGTTTGTGGATCAGCAGTGGTTGTTTGGGGAGCAGTTGTGGTTGTTTGTGCTTCAGTTGTGGTTGTTTGGGGATCAGCGGTGGTTGTTTGGGGAGCAGTTGTGGTTGTTTGGGGTTCAGTTGTAGTTGTTTGGGGTACAGTGGTGGTTGTTTGGGGTTCAGTTGTGGTTGTTTGGGGAGCAGTGGTGGTTGTTTGGGGAGCATTGGTGGTTGTTTGGGGTTCAGTTGTGGTTGTTTGGGGAACAGTTGTGGTTGTTTGGGGAGCAGCGGTGGTTGTTTGGGGTGCAGTTGAGGTTGTTTGGGGTACAGTGGTGGTTGTTTGAGGTACCGGTGTGCTTGTTTGGGGTGCAGTTGTGGTTGTTTGTGGTTCAGTTATTGTTGTTTGGGGAGCAGTTGTGGATGTTTCAGGTGCAGCGGTAGTTGTTTGGGGTGCATTGGTGGATGTTTGGGGTTCAGTTGTGGTTGTTTGGGCTTCAGTTGTGGTTGTTTGGGGATCAGCGGTGGGTGTTTGGGGAGCAGTTGCAGTTATTTGGGGTGCAGTTGTGATTGTTTGCGGAGCAGTGGTGGTTGTTTGGGGTACAGATGAAGGAATGGTTGAGATAACTGTTGTGGAGTGTAAAGAAACTGTAGTTGTAGTTTGAGGAATCACTGTAGTTGTTAGTGGGGTGATGGTTGTTGTAAGCTCTTTTATGTTCGGTTGGGATGTCGGAGACATGTTTGTCGTGGTTGTATTGTCCTTTGAGATAGCCAAAGAAATATCTGGAGTAGTTTCGCTGTTTAAGCCATCTGAAGAAAAAAAAAAAAGGAAAATCATTTTGTTTCTTGTTTTTGGAATAGTTCAGCTTATTCATTAACCCTTCACACAGACAGGTTTATAGAATTTAACACGTGCTTTCACAAATTGGGCAAAACCACTTCGTACAAGCCTTTCAAATGGCTGGTCCACAATAATTACCAATCTCAGAATTGGAATTATAATCTCCTATATAATTTCCCCCATGTATGGTCATGTAGTTTTATCGCTATCCTAATAGATTGTAAACTTGTTACAAATTGACCGAAAGCAATATCCATTAGAGAACCATCTACACTCCCCAAAAATCTAATCTCCAACACGATAGAGCCTGGCAGGTGCATAGTCGCCATATGGGCAGGGGAATGATCCATGAACCCTAACCAAACCCACCCAATAAGACACCGACACTCATGGGTATGGGTCACAAATGTCAACAGCTTTAATGGTAATAAAGCTAATAATATTAATAATAATAACTTATGATTTACAATTATATAAAGATCATTACCTGCCACACCTCCAAAATTACATCATCTCTCCCATATTTACATCAAGGCAATGACCCCCAACATAACATAATTCACAATATATAACAACCACATAAATATAAAATTTAAAGTGCCAACATTCATCAATTTCACTTGGTAGGGGTATACCCAGATCCACCTGTGACAAACTGAACCCTGTCACGGGTTCTTGGAGCGGCCTGCTGGCCAGCCTCTTGCCTCAGGACTATGGGCCCTGCCATATACCTTACCCGATGCACTTTCATGTGAGGTATGTACTTTTGGACTCCAGACAGAGAGACCGACCGTTAGCCCTGATTCCCTGGAACTGTTTTGGGCATGGGACCATGTGCACGGTCGGTTCAAAATTAGACTTCCAGGAAATTCCTGAACCCCTGAACTGATCTGGGTGATTTTTGGATCTGTTGATCACCCAGATCAAAGCAATCAGGGGTTGTAACGTTTGTGGGGGTTTTGTGTGTTTTAAGGTTGTGGCAAACTCCCCTTTTTACCTGAGAGAAGAATCCCTTTCTGTGGACAGCCAACGCAGCCGACTGAGCCATCATGAGCTTCATCCACGACTGCAGGTCCATTTGGTCCCACCACATACCAGGATTATCTGCCTGTTGTTGGCGGAATTTCTCGTCGTATTTCTACCACGCCATGCCCCCATACTTCCTATACGCCTCCCAGATCCCATCCAGGTAGCCAAAACAATGAAGAGCCTCAGCTACTGTCCCCACCGAGACCAGAGCCCCCCTTGGCACCCTCAGCTACCGTCACTACCATGCCCGGAGCCACAGACCCGGCTCCCTTGCGCATCTTCTGCCACCACCGCCCGGAGTCCGTCCCCGGACGGAGCCAGCGATGCCCGTCTCATGCGTGGGTGGCTCTCTGCAAGCTCCAGCCAGGCCCACCAGTCCTGTGGGGGACTTCCCCGTCTCCAGCCACAGACGAAGGCATTGCGGTGTCCTCTGAATCCGAGTTGGGCATCCTCCTCCATGGCCATCTTGCTCTGCCACCAACATCACCGCTGCCAGCCTCTCCTGCAGCCGCGCTGTCCCTCTGCTCTGTGCAGCCTCCCGCACGCCAGCCAGCAGCTCCTCCATTGACCGCTCAGCCATCCTGAAAGACAAAGCTTACCAGGCCCAATCAGAGCACAACAAGCGTGCACCAACTCTGCAAGAAATTAGAAGTCAACCCCCAAACACTAACCCACCAATCCCCACTATTGTTCCCTCCGATAGCCCTTCTTCCAGCCCTATCAGGGCCCTATTCCCTAAGATGCGTTTCTCCATGGGCTTCATTTTTATTATCAGTTTTTATTAGATAACATTACGGTTGAAAATGATCTGTGTCACACAGCACGGGGACTCTACGCGTACATTACAAATTCAAATCACCTGATTTACAGTAACACAAAATCCCCAATCAATTAACAGACTTACTGGTCATTAGCAGCACAAATACCGTGCAGAGAAACATGTTTGTCATCTCCTCAGCCCTCTCACCATCTATTCAACCATTTCTGTGAAAAAAGAGACATTATGTTACACTTCATTATAAAAATGTCTATTTAAGGTACACTTCAAGAACCATAAATACTACAGTGTAATGGAAGTTTTCAGGGGTCAAGTCCTGGGGAAAAAGTGTGGGAACTCGCCCAAGATCCTCCCCCCAAACCTCCACCCCCCAAAAAATGTATGCATAAATAAACATGTGCACACACACACTCAGACACACACATACACTCACAGACGCACACACATACTCAGACACTCACACAGTGGTGTATTTTAATTTTGTGCTCCCCTAGGCATGACTATACCTGAGCACCCCCCTAATCTAAATTTACCAACCCTTCCTGATTAAGAACCCACCCCTTCCTCTTTAGACTCCACCTTTTCCTGCTCCTTTTAAAGAAATACTATAGTGCCAGGAAAACAGAAGCACATACACGCATGCACACACACATACATAAGCTAACAGATGTAAATACGCTCATACACAAGCACACTGACACAAACTCACAAGTACACTAAAATACACATATACACTAACAGACATAAACTAACAGACATACACACACAAACAAACACTAACAGACATATACACAAATAAATACACTAACAGAAACACACACACGCACACATACATACACTAACACACACACACATACATACACTAACACACACACACAATACATATATACAAATTAGTAATATTATTAAAATTAACATTTCCCACCTACCCACCCAGCCTCCCTACCTTTTAGGAAAGCTGGCATGGATGGGTCCCTGGGGTCCACTGGGGCAGGCGGCTGTCTCTCTGTCACACGCAGCGAGGGAGCTGTGTTCTCTCTGCTCCCTCACACGGTCTACTAATACCAGGAGCCGGAATATGATGTCATGTTCCGGCTCCCGGGATCAGCAAACGGCACGCGAGGGAGCAGAGCAGACAGAACACAGCTCCTTCGCCACGTGTGACAGAGAGACAGCCGCCTGGCCCTCTGGACCCCCGAAAGCCGACCGGCCACCTTGCCCAATTCTGTTGCCGGTCAGTCAAAACTGTGTTTGACGATAACTTCCGTTCTACCGAACCGATCTGAGCACTTTTTGGATATGTTCTGTGCTCAGATCAAGGCTATTCGGGAATAAAATTTGTGTGGGGTTCCTGTAGTGTTTTCATGTATTTTTGGGGTACATTAAAAACATCTGTAAGTTTCTGTATTTGAGAGATATTTGTGATATACTAATTGGGACCCAATTATATCTCAAACACAAAGGATTTTGGGAAAGAAACCCTTGTGTTTTTTACATAAAAGCTATATGTGGCAAAATAAAGTCAGTTGTACTCCCAGAACTGTGTGTCATCCAGTTGCTGGGGAGGAGGTGGGCTATTTACTTGGCATTTTCTTGTTCCTGAATCTACTCTTGGTGATCCAGCGAAGGAAAGTCCCTGCCAGAACAAGTGCTCTGTTACAAATGTAGGTGCGGCTCTGCATAGGCCCAGATGTTATCCAGGTGGCCACGGTTGCAGGGGTCGTGGCAGTGGCTGGGCTCCCTGCACTGAGGGGCCCAGTCACAGCTGCGACCCCTACGACTGTGGTAGGTACACCACTGGCAGCACTTACCTGAACATACATACATTATAGGGTGGTGCTGGGGCCAATTCATACAACATCAGCGCACTTGTTTATTCACTATAAATAATTTTCAAGTCTTACAGAATGTAATAGTTTTATTTAAAAACACCGCTCCTAGGCAATAAATAATGGGGGATTAGTTAGAGTATATGATTATACATTGCATGAGCCTGCCACAATATATATATATATATATATATATATATATATATATATATATACATTTTTTGAGAGGCACACTCAGGGTATTTGTGAATATTTTTTTATTTGGTTAGAAGTAAAGTTACATCAATGTGTCGCCGTTTCAGTACACACATTGGTGTGTAGTCAGAGTGAAGTCCTGGGTTGAAAGGCAGCCACCCCCCGATTGCGATCACAAAAGAAGATCATTAGAGTGTATTATGCCTATGGCAAAAGCCACTTTGCCACTGGGGTTACAACAGTAGTAGCCACTTAGTCACAAACACTGGCCAAAATTGTCATTCAAATTAGTTTTTTGCATTTTTCAGACACAAACAAATATTAACACTAACTTGCCAGCCTTGTACCCTGTAACTATGGCCCCTATAATTTATTGTGGTTGAGAGACCCTATCTGTGCCTATTGGAACTTTGAACAATGGTTCTTCGAACAACTTTCAAAGTTGTTCGAAGTGCCACTTCCATGATTGAGTGACTGTGTGTCTTTGTGTTTGCCTGCCTGTGTGTGTGTGTTACCGTCTGTGTGTGTGTGTGTGTGTGAGAGACTGTCTGTGTGTGTGTGTGTGTGTGTGTGAGACTGTCTGTGTGTGAGAGACTGTCTGTCTGTGTGAGTGACTGTCTGACTGCCTGTTTGTGTGTGACTGCCTGCCTGTGTGTGCGACTGTCTGACTGCCTGCTTGTGTGTGACTGCCTGTGTGTGACTGCCTGTGTGTGTGAGACTGTCTGTCTGTGTGTGTGACTGACTGCCTGCCTGCCTGTGTGTGTCTGCCTTCCTGTGTGTGTGTGACTGCCTCCCTGTGTGTGTGTGACTGTCTGCATAACTGCCTGCCTGTGTGACTGTCTGTCTGTGTGTGTGTGACTATCTGTCTGTCTGCCTGTGTGTGACAGTTTGCCTGTGTGTGTGTGATATTCTGTGTGTGACTGTCTGCCTGTGTGTGACTCCAATTGTGTGTGTCGTTGTAGCTGTGCCAATGTGTGTGCCTGTATGTGTGCCTATCAGCGTGCGTGTCTGCATGCCTGTAACCGAGTGTGTATGACTGTCTACTTGTAAAGGAGTATGTGTGACTGTTTGTTTGTGACTGTCTGCCTGTAACTCTGTGTGTGTGATTGTCTGCCTGTAACTGTGTGTGTGACTGTTTGCCTGTAACTGTTCGTGATTGTGTTCCTGTAACTGTGTGTGACTGTCTGCCTTTAACTGTGTGTTTGGCTCTGTGACTGTCTGCCTGTAACTGAGCATGTGTGACTGTCTGCTTGTAACTGTTTGTTTGACTGTCTGCCTTTGCCTGTGTGTGTGATGGTATAGATAAAGCAACTTTTTTGGGGGAGAGGGGGCACCGTGAAGGCTTTTCGCACAGGGTGCCTAATGGCCTAAGGCCGTCCCTGATTGTGGCATAGTATGCCCTAATGGCATTAATGGATAAAATCTATTAATCCAATTACTTCTTAAATGATAAAACTAATGTATGGTATATTTACAACAGTAGTAGCCACTTAGTCACAAACACTGGCCAAAATTGTCATTCAAATTAGTTTTTTGCATTTTTCAGACACAAACAAATATTAACACTAACTTTGGCCAGTGTTTGTGACTAAGTGGCTACTAAAAAAGCTGGACATACCACATTTGCAATACGTCGGGTTTTATACTATTGCAAATGGTATGCCATCATGGGGTAATTCTCATTCCTGGGCTACCACACCGTCTCAAAGGCAACCTAACCAATCCGGCAAATTTCAATGTGAAAAAAAAGGAAAATGTAACATGCTATATTTGACCCTGTAACTTCCCAAAACGCCATAAAACCTGTACATAGGGTGTACACTGTATACAAATATGTGTATATTATTGCAGTAAAAAGCAAACAGTATTATGACATTGACAGTTCACACTTTTAGTAGTATGTGTGGAACTGCACTCACTCCCATAAATCTGAGCCAGGGTACTCGCTGAACCGGAATCAAACACCAGGTTTCCAAAAATGAATAAAGTAATAGAGGTCCAGGCACTCCTTGGTTATTAGGAACCACAACAGCAACGTTTCGACCCCAAAAGGTCTTTGTCAAGCTGATACATACATCAATTTTACAATATACAAACTTTAAACAATCACATTTATGAATCAGTATCCTAAGCAAGTAGTTGAACAGCTGGAAGTAGTATACTTCTTATCAGCAATACTTAATTACATTAATTAGAAAGAGAATCTAATACTTAATTACCCAAAAACAAACGAGCTTTGAAAGACGTATTAATTTCCATAATTTACGAAAGACGTACAGAAATTTCCATTATCGATTAGAAATCCTTGATCAAAATCACAGAGTATTAATATTAAAGGACCACTATAGTGCCAGGAAAAGATACTCAGGGACCCCCTCCCGCCCGGCTCTGGAAGGGGGAAAGGGGTTAAAACTTACCTTTTTGCAGCGCTGGGCGGGGAGCTCTCTCCCTCTGATCCGCCTCCGATCCACCCAGTCGGCTGAATGCGCACGCGCGGCAAGAGCTGTGCGCGCATTGAAACGGTCACATAGGAAAGCATTATCAATGCTTTCCTATGGATGCTTGCGTGCTCTCACTGTTATTTTCACAGTGAGAATCACGCAAGCGCCTCTAGTGGCTGTCAGTGAGACAGCTGCTAGAGGAATTGGGGGAAGGCTTAACCCATTCATAAAGTTTCTCTGAAACTGCTATGTTTATTAAAAAATGGGTTAACCCTAGCTGGACCTGGCACCCAGACCACTTCATTAAGCTGAAGTGGTCTGGGTGCCTAGAGTGGTCCTTTAAGTATCCTTAACACATAAAGTACATCAAGTTCAAAGAGTTTTCCTATATAGAAGAAAGTGTGTATAAGGAGATACCCTGAAGTAAGTTATTTCCCTTATCGATTAGAGATCCTTGATCAAGATCACAGAGTATTGCTATTAAGTACCCTTAACACATCACATTCCCAGAATTGGTATATATAGAAGAAAGTGTATATAGAAAAATAACCTTAAATAGGCTATAACGACTCATTTGGAGTCAAAGTGTAAATAATATCTGCATAATTTATATCATTGGCAAAAACACTAAAAACTTCCTTAACCTCTGAAACCTCATTGCAAGCCAAGTCATTTGTCCCTAGATGGACAAGTACATCCAATTCCCCTTCCTGCTTTGCTCGCTTAACAATATTACAGATATGTCTCCTGTCTCTGTGAACAGTAGCTCCGGGAAGACACCTCACAAGACCACCATTGTCCTCTTATGATGGAATCCCCCAACAACAACTGCTTTCTATTGGGCCTCACCATAGTCTCCAAGCCTGTCTCCACAACACCATTAGCCTCAGTGTCTGAGCCTGTCTCCACTAGCCTCAGTGCCTCTCTCCACAACACCACTAGCCTCAGTACCTCTCTCCACAACACCATTACACTCTGAAAGTGCAGAAAATGAATTATGTAGAGCCACAGTTTGTTTACCAGATAATTTACAAATCTCAGACTTCAAAAATACAATCTCCTGCCGCAAGATAGAGAACTGTCTACAGATTAGACAACCAAACCTACAAAAAGATTAGACAACAACCAAACCTACAAAAAGTCGGCCCAGATCCCTAACTACAGCCGGAGTTACTGGGAGTAGGGACAGTCAGTCCTTCTCCCCTGCCGCAGGGTACCATGCCGGGAGAGGAGAAAACCAGTCTCTCTCCCCAGCTGCAGCCGGAGTTACAGGGGGAGGAGTTGATCGGTCCCTCTACCCAGCAGCACAAAGCGTCCTGGGGAGTGGAGGCAACCGGCCTCACTCTCCAGCAGCAGCAGCCAGAGATACCAGGTGAGGCGACAACTGGCCCCTCTCCGCAACTACAGGGGGACAACACCTCTGACCCCAATGATGCAGATGGGACCGCAGTCTCTGCACCAGACCTACAGGGATGCTTGTGGTGGGACAGCTGCCTAACTGTAAATTGCCCTTTTTCTATGTGTGGATGTGTGTCAACCCCCCCTTGTTTTTAATTTCCCCCTTTCTGTCATTTTTACCATAAACCAAATATGCAAAATAGCTTTTGAGCTCCTGGGGGTGCTCCGGCGCATGGAGCCCCATTCACCTGACCACCTCGGCACTCCATTTAGAACGTTTACTTAGAACATTCACACCTCACTAACAAGGTGTGAAAACCGCAGACCACAAGGGAACAAGCGGCGCGTGCTTCCCCTGGGTGGCCGCCAGTTCACATCACCAAACCCCTACCAGGGGGAGCATTCCGAAATGGCCTGTGCACACTGTCTTTGATCCCTGTGTCGGGAAGCAGCCTACCTGCTCCTAACGGAGCTATAATCACTGGTTACACCTAAACCTGGGAGCTATGAGACTAAGCTTGTGGCTGCCCAGGCGAGCGCGCTCTCCGGCGGATACCGGAGTGGGGACATCCACTGGAGAGAGGGAGATGCACCAGCATCTCTGGAGCTGTGAGTTGGTCTCGCAGCAGCAGGCCTCCGCTGGTCGCGTGGAAGTCCGTGCTGAGCAATTTGAGAGAGATCGCCCGTTCAAACTGGGTTCGCACCATTCTCCTGGTTGGTCAGCACGAGTGAGCACTGATTGGTCGCTGCGAGGCGCTGGCAACCAATCGGAGCAGGCACGCCCATTCAAATAAGGTTTTGCGCCCTTTCATCTGAATGGGCTGTGAAGCCCTCTTGCGCCAGGGCGCTGATTGGCACGAATTGATTTTGCGCCTTTCAGCGGATTGGTGCAATCAGGTTTCGCACCCTTTCTTCTGATTGGGCCGTGAAACCCCTCTCTCCCTTGAATGCCGATTGATGCAATTTGGTTTGAGCCCTTTCAGCCAATTGGCTGTTGCCTGGTTTAGGCGCTGTAACGGATCACCTGGCACCCCGGCTGGGTAACTCCTTAGACGGATGCCTCCTAGCTGATGCCGAGGACCATAAGCATCACACCGGACACCTCAACCATCGCAGACTCCACAACTGTCATAGCATAACTGGAATCTCGCTGTCTTCCTTCCCCCTGGACCAACCTCTAACATCCAGGACTGTGTGGGAGAGACCGCTCCTCCAGGAGAGCATAACAGGAACAGCTCTTTAAAGAGCTAAGTGATTAGAGCCCAGGGGAGAATACAAAGTATAGCAATCCCCAGTGTGATTATAGCAGTTCCCCTCTAATCACATGACAAGACTAAGTGTTGAGGGTAAAACAGGGTCAGCAGATCTGAGGGTTTATTGAACAGATAGGTCTTTTATACAGTTTTCCCCACAAGGTTACCACCCAGATGGACCTTGTGGGGCACAGGAACACAGGAACAACAAGCCAATAAAAATATACTTTTATATTAAGTCACTCCAATACAGTGTACACAATCCTGCCCCGTTGCCTGTGATTTAATTAATGAAGACAATGGGCTAACTCAATTAACTCTCAGCATAAAAAAACATACATTTTTGCAAACCCCAAAAAGTACTTCAAAATACAACATACCCCCAACAAATACAGTCACATCCCCTGATAGCCCTGCTCTGGGTGAACAACATATCCCCAAATCACCCAGATCAGTTCAGGGGTTCAGGAATTTCCTGGAAGTCTTATTTTTGCCCCACCGTGCACATGGTCCCATGCCCAAAACAGTTCCATACACTCGACAACAAAACAATGCTGGACAATTTAAGATGGCCGTCGCCACATGTTTGAATCTGTTCCAGTTAAAAGTCCAAGGGGCAGAAACAGTACTTTTGAACATGGGTTATCACAGGACTCATAGTCCCAAAGTAGGAGGCACGCAAACAGGCCCCTCCTAAAACCAGTGGTGAAGTTACTTTCGTCACAGGCGCGTAGTTTGAATTCGCCAGACTAAACCAAGCAACTCCCTGGAACTAATTTTGGGAATGTACAGAGCCTCAAGCCCCAGACTTTGGATACTGATATCATGGGCTCTGCACATCCGATTGCCCCGCTTTTTGCAGGGATCCCAAGTGTGACCCGGGGCTATTTATTGATGTATGTTTTAACCCTGTATCCCCTTTCCGTCCCAGGGCACCAAGCCCCAAAGTTCACCCCCCTTTATGTAATGCGTATTCATGTGTTTCCCTGTGTCCTGTAACTTAAGTATCTCCCAGAGCAGGAGGTGGTAATCTGTGACCTAGCCCCCTCCTGCCTGGATTGTGTTCTGTTGGATGGAGACCCACTGCCGGGGTCTGTGCATAAAAAGCTGTATGCCCAAATAAAGATTGTCAAAAGTTGTATCCTGGAACTTTGTGCCGTCCATTTACTGGGAAAATGGGTCTGACCTATTCTTACAAAAGGGAATAACCAGCCGGGTTACCCAGGGCCCACTTCAACTGGTGGCAAGCGGCGGGATCCTATGTTCCTGCCAACAGACCCATGGACTATAGTACTCTAAAGTGACCAACATTGCAAGACTTGTGTGAAGCCAGAGGGATAACCCCTGACAGTCGTAACAAGGCCGTATGGAGTTCTGCACTTATGGAAGATGACCAGGCACGCAGTGAGGCAACTACTCCCCAGCCAGGGGCCGGAGAAGAGGAGGAAGTGCGAAAGGAGGTGGCCCGGCGCCTGACATATTACACAGAGCCACCCTCAGAGGAGACCATCAGCAGGACCTTTTTTGAGGCATTGATGACTTCCCACAGGATTTTGAGCACCAGTGCCTACTACAAGCAGTCGACCCTACCGACTGGGTCACCATCCTGGCCAGCAAATTAGTGGGTGAGGCAGCGGAAGCTTAGCGGGCTGTACCAGAGGACCAGATCAGGGACTATGCCTTTATCAAACAGATCCTCCTAGCCAGGTATGCTATCACCCCCGAGCAATACCGCTGAAAGTTCAGGAAGACCAGAAAAGGGAAAAGGGACTCCCAATGCGGAGTGGACATGCCTCATCCCAAGGGCCACCCAGAACTGGCTCAACTCCCAACCAGCTAAGTCCCCGGAGGAGATCACCCAGTTCTTCATGTCGGAACATTTTAATGATGGGCTCCCTAACAAAGTACGAGAATGGGTGAGAAATCGACAACCCAAGACTCTCACTGAGGTGGCTCAGTGGGCAGATGAAAATATCGACACCCGGTGGTCCCAGTGCCCAGTGGCCCCTGTTTCCTACCGACCACCCACTCCACCTCTGTTCCAGCCCAACCCGTGGCCACAACTCCACTTCGTAGACTCCCAGCAAGTCTACCTCGGGGCAGATCAGCGCTGCTTCCAGTGCAACCAGCCTGGCCACCTCAAAATAAACTGCAGATCACAGTGGGTCACACTGGTGCGACCACAGCTAGTTCCGGAGGAAGAACAGACAGGGGTACCGTAGCTGTCGGAGTGGCTGGAGGGAATGTCCACTATATAACCACTGCATGTGTACACCTGGATTGGGGCGCTGGAGCCCGGAGATGCAAAGTGGGCCTCATGGACCGACTATCCACCAAGGTACTTCTCGGCAATCTGACCCAGGAAGAAGTCTACCCAGTGATGACTCACCAGCAATCCTGCACCACCCCGGACATTTCACACTCTGAGGCTCAGGTAAACACCCGTGGCCCTTTCCATCCCCCAAGGTCCCGTAGAAAGCCCTGTCAGCAAGCCCCCCGAGTCAGCCCCCTTAGCTCTGGGCGCCATTCCTGACCCTACACGCGGGCCACACGTACTCACCACCTAAACTCTGAGTCCTGGGAGCCTATCCCTCACCTGGTCCCCCTACACTGGGATACTCCCGCTAAGTTTGAGAAGGAGGTTGTGGCGGAACCAGCCTCGCCACTGGGCATTGGAAAAGACTGATTGCCAGCCTCCTGCCATGTGACTATGTCCCCTGGGATGTATTGCCTGCTCTCCTGTACTGCTGTGGTTTGCTACCAACTAGGTGGATTTGGCTATGGAGTTTGTCTAGTGCCCTCTGTTGGTAGCATATGCACTACCTGAATAGCAAGACTTGTTCATTTGCATATTCGGGAAGATTTGCATATTGCTAATTCTTCAGACACGTGAGATATTTTCTGTTAATTATTGTCTCCCCCACCTCTTTAAAAATATGCCATTGTGTTTTAATAAGTCACTGTATGTTGCCTGCTATGATTTGACTGTTTGTAATTTTATTGGGTTTTCACAGCAATGTTAATGTAATGGCCATATGGGCTAGAAAATAAAGTTTTAGACAGTTTTTCTTCACCCTCAATCTAGAGTCCTGTCTCTTTTGGGGGAATTGCTATATTACTACAGGATTGCTATGCTCTGCATGCTCCTTTGGATAATCACTTCTAAGCTTTTTTAAGAGCTTGTTCCTGTCTTGCTCCCGGAAGGAGTCTACGGTGGTTATGGTGTCTGCTGGAGTCTTTGGAGCCCTCAGGAAGTGCTAGGAGCATCCAATAATGGAGGTACCCAGTTGGGGTACCAGCTGATCCGTTACAGTGGTGGCAGCGGCGGGATGGTCCTGTCTTCCCAGAGGACGTGTTACATCTACAGAGTATGAAAAACTGAAACGGCCAACATTGAAGGATTGCTAGAGAGCCGTGGGTGTTCAGCTAGCAACAGACTGAGACGGGAATTAATAGCTGAACTGGTCTAAATGGACCAAAACAACATCATGGCTAACGCTAACTCACCAAACGGGGAAGAGGACAAGATCCAGAGAATCGTGCAAGGTAGGCTGGCACTCTATGGGCCAAATCCACAGGTAGAAGTGGTAACCCAGCTTCTCAATGCAGCGATGGAGGAGGCGAGGGAAAGAAGAGCCTACAATCTACAGGTACTGACCGCACCGAGAACAGAGAGCCCAACAGTTCTACTTCACCCTCAATCTAGAGTCTTGTCTCTTATTGGGGGTAACCGCTATACAGCTATTCACACTAGCTCTTGTAAGAGCTTCTTCACTTGGAACTGACTGGAAGCTGAGAATCCTGCACGGGGTAACCACTACAGAGGTAGCCTCTGACCTGACCCTACAAGGTTACAGGGACAAAGCTGTGGCGAAAGCCACTTAGCCACTGGGGTTTGGAGGGGACTACTTGCCAGCCTTTTACCCTGTGACTATGGCCCCTTTAATTTATTGTGGTTGAGAGACCCTATATGTGCCTGTTGGGACTTTAACCCCTTAAGGACCAAACTTCTGGAATAAAAGGGAATCATGACATGTCACATGTCATGTGTCCTTAAGGGGTTAAACAATTGTTCTTCGAACTTTCGAAGTGGTTCGAAGTGCTACTTCGAACCAGCGAACAGCGGACAACACACAAGTGGAGTGTGCAGCCTATTTACCTCCAAGGCTGGTAGTTAACCACAGCCAAATTTGCGAACGGCTGGGTGGTTGCCGTTCGTATAGTCGAACACATGGCGATGGCCATCTTGTTTAGTCAAACCTTTTCAGAGGGGTTTTGTCGTTGAGTTCATGGAACTCAAATTGGACACGCAACGGCACGAACTCCGCTGAACTTCACCTTTCATTGAACTTTGGGTATTCGAACGGGAGTCAAACGATATTCGGTGAACAGAAACCAACGAACAAGTGACACACATTGACTATGGTCATTCACCATTCCGTTCAGTAATTTGAATGGTACTTCGACTGTTTAAAATAGACCGGCCACACAGACTAATTCTCTGGAACTGTTTTGGGCATTGGACCACATATCCAAAATTCACCCAAATCCGTTCAGTAGTTTGGAAGATATGGTTTAATGCAGATTCCGCAGAACATATACAGGCTATATAAAAATATTTACTGTTAAATGTGTCCCCTGTTCTGTAGTTTAAAACTACTGAACGATGTCTTTGTGCACCAAATACCGGCGAGATGGCACCGTGTAGAAAAGTCTAAACAGTGTCTGTGAGTTAAAATGGCCGCCATCCATTGTTCTCACCATGTGCTTCATCCATTGTTCTCACCGAGTGTCTGATACATGAAATAGCGGCCACCCAGTAACTCCACAGTTTGTCTGGTAATCTATCCAGCCGAACCAACAGATGAAACACATTGGGAACAGTGCAATAAACAAAGGGAATCATAAAAAATATGGACAATAGTCATATTTGTGCACAATCTCCAGTTTTGTCACAGGGCACAAACAGTGTTTTCAAATGCCATATATCCCAGGACCATAGTCAGAAGGTAGGAGGTGGGCAAGCAGCCCCCTCCAAGAACACGTGGCGAGGTCTGTTTCGCCACACTATCTAATCAATACAGTATCTATCTATACAGTATCTATTTATCTATCTATAAAGTATATATCTATCTATACAGTATCTATCTAATCTATACAGTATCTATCTGTCTATACAATATCTATAGTGCTTTGCAAAAATATTCACCTCCCTTGACTTTTTACCTATTTTGTTACATTACAGCCTTAAGTTCAATGTTTTATTAATCTGAAATTAATGTGATGGATCAGAACACAATAGTCTAAGTTGGTGAAGTGAAAGAGAAAAATATATAGAAATAGAAAACAGAAAATTGGCATGTGCGTATAAATTCACCCCCTTTGTTATAAAGCCCATAAAAAGCTCTGGTGCAACCAATCACCTTCAGAAGTCACATAATTAGTGAAATGATGTCCACCTGTGTGCAATCTAAGAGTCACATGATCTGTCATTACATATACACACCTTTTTTGAAAGGCCCCAGAGGCTGCAACACCTAAGCAAGAGGCACCACTAACCAAACACTGCCATGAAGACCAAGGAACTCTCCAAACAAGTAAGGGACAATGTTGTTGAGAAGTATAAGTCAGGGCTAGGTTAAAAAAAAAATATCCAAATCTTCGATGATCCACCATCAAAGCTATCATAACCAAATGGAAAGAACATGGCACAACAGCAAACCTGCCAAGAGACAGCCTCCCACCAAAACTCACGGACCAGGCAAGGAGAGGCAGCACAGTGATCTAAGTTATCAATGGAGGAGCTGGAAAGTTCCTCAGTAGAGACTGGAGTATCTTTACATAGGACGACAATAAGCCGTACGCTCCATAGAGTTGGGCTTTATGGCAGAGTGGTCAGAAGAAAGCCATTGCTTTCATCAAAAAAAAAAATGGCATGTTTTGAGTTTGCGAAAAGGCTCAAAATGTATGGAGGAAGGTGCTCTGGTCTGATGAGACTAAAATTTTCCTTTTCAGCCATCAAAGAAAACACTATCTCTGGCGCAAACTCAACACATCACCCAAAGAACAACATCCCCACAGTGAAACATGGTGGTGGCAGCATCATGCTGTGGGGATGTTTTTCAGCAGCCAGGACTGGGAAACTGGTCAGAGTTGAGGGAAAGATGGATGGTGCTAAATACAGGGATATTCTTGAGCAAAACCTGTACCACTCTGTGCGTGATTTGAGGCTAGGACGGAGGTTCACCTTCCAGCAGGACAATGACCCCAAACACACTGCTAAAGCAACACTTGAGTGGTTTAAGGGGAAACATGTAAATGTGTTGGAATGGCCTAGTCAATGCCCAGAGCTCAATCCAATAGAAAATCTGTGGTCAGACTTAAAGATTGCTGTTCACAAGCGCAAGCCATCCAACTTGAAGGAGCTGGAGCAGTTTAGCAAGGAGGAATGGGCAAAAATCCATATGGTAAGATGTGGCAAGCTCATAGAGACTTATCCAAAGCAACTTGGAGCTGTGATTGGCGGTGGCTCTACAAAGTATTAACTTTAGGGGGGTGAATAGTTATGCACATTGACTTTTTCTGTTATTTTGTCCTGTTTGTTGTTTGCTTCACAATAAAAAATAAAAAAGACATCTTCAAAGTTGTGGGCATGTTCTGTAAATTAAATGATGCAAATCCTCAAACAATCCATGTAAATTCCAGGTTGTGAGGCAACAAAACACGAAAAATGCTAAGGGGGTGAATACTTTTGCAAGCCATCTATCTATCTATCTATGCAATATCTATCTATCTATTTATCTATCTATATATCTATCTATCTATCAATCTATCCGTCTGTCTGTCTGTCTATCCTCTTTCTGTCTGTCTGTATTTACATACAGTGTGTTGATATCATGGTACCTGTATAATTTGCTTTGTGCAGTAATAGTCCGGAGTCTCCCAGGATAAAGATCACTGTAGACGTCTCTGTTTGTTCTGTATCTCTCTGAAGCACTAGGTAGGTATCCTGAGTATGTCTAGGTTAGAGTGAAGTAAATGTACTAACTACCCTCTTGTATGAGCTGGGAGTTGTAACATTTCACTCTCTCTGCCCTAAGGGACACTTTCTAAATTTAGATACAATTACTAGTGAACTTTCTAGAGGAACGCTAGAATGTATAGCTTTGCGTAGATTTGCGTCTGCATTCTTTCTGAGCTGATATAACAGGTACAAAAAAAGAGGGCTCTGCACTGACAACCTGAATATTAATCAAGTTATTTGAAAATATTTTTATTAATATTGTACTCATTGGCTGAGAGTACTCAACTGACGCTCTCAGCACGTTCTTGTGTAACCTTTGCCCTCTCCTGCTGGAGATACCATATGTAACACTGCTGGTACCATAACCACTACAGCCAACAGTAGTAATTATGGTGCTCCTTTGTTGCATTGGGTGTCATCTTAAATAACATGATGTCTAGTGCCTACGTGTCCTCATTCTCTGAGAATTAGAAGAACTCATGGACTTGTTTAAAATGATCCATTTACTGCCAGATCTGATGCGAGGTAGGCCTTTCAGTCAAATAGTTTTTACAGATATTACAGCAGATCACATACATGAAACCCGTGTAAAACATGACGATATGTAATTATCGCACATATTTCCCTTCTAACCAATACTGAGCTGGAACCATGGGACAGCGTTCACGTCAATGTGTTAATCTAAGCTGAACAGGGCCCTGTGGAGATGGCACAGCTAAGCGGACAAGGGCACATGTATGAGTGTGGGGATGGATGCCTGTGATTGGTTGTATGTGTGTATGGGAGTGGTTATTTGTTTGGGAGTGGTGTAGGGATCATCTTACCTCAAGTGGTCTCAGCCACTGCGGGCCTCACGAGCACAGGAGGGCACTATCGCCCACCTGCTCATGTGGGTCCGGTAGTGGCCCCATGGGCCAGTTATCTGAGCTGGAGCCCGGGCCCAAGGCGCCGCCAGGCCCACGTGTCTGCCCCATCCAACATGCAACCTGCTCCCTCGAGGTTTCCCGCGCGACCCCGGCAATGGACAGTGGGCCTGTGCAGCCCAGACAGCCTAGGGCATCTGTGAGACATTCCCGGGTTCCACGTGGTTGGTGCAACAGTGGACCTATGACGGTGCTGGTGGTGGTGAGTGGGGCCCGCAGGGCCATGCGGGACATGGCTGTGCCGCCGTTGGAGGGTGGAGGGGGGTCCTTCCCAAGTTTTGGTATGTCCTCTGGGGACAAGGGACTGTCGGAGGGATCCCCCTCTTCTCCCCCTGCTTTTGTCCATCGATACTGTAATGGAACTCCTCGTACTCCGATCGAGTACCTTCCACTGATGGACGCTTCCTAGCTTGCGCCGAGGACCACAAGCACCGCACCGGACACCACAACTGCCGTAGCTTAACTGGAGTCTCGCCGTCTTCCTTCCACCCTGGATCAGCCTCTGTAACGGACCGTCTCGCACACAAGAGGTTAAAAAACATTTAGGCAATATTCCCCTTTCAGATGCACAGAAAGCTACTGCAATCACCAATCTCCTGAACTGCAAACACACAAATTCTCCACCTCCTGAACTGGAACCATACGAATCCTCCAACTCACAAACAGGAAACACACTAATGCCGTTAAACATCCAAACAGGAAAAACCAAACGAACAGCTTACATCCCTGGCAGTCGCACTGTAACAGCATACAATCCAATTCCCCAAAGAACAAGACAACACTTCGTTTGAGGATCAAGCAGAACTGATTTACTGGGGCTACCTGCCTGGCTTTTATGCAGGTCTTCCACCTGGTGGACACTCTCCTAGGGGACCAGATGGGAAACTGGGACACAAAGGGAAAAAGGACCAATCACAAGCTTACACATTTAAACAGATCCCACAATGCACTGCAATCCCTCCTCTCTGTCCTGGAGATAATTGGGAAGTAATCCAATTATCTCCAAGGACAGAGTCAAAACTCCATTAGCCACATGTTAGTAAAAAGACATAAAATTACACAGCTTTACAATTACTACATAACACATATACATATCCCCAGATAGCTTAGATCTGAGTGCACATTATTACCGAATGGCGCTCAGATCACATACATACAGTTCAATCGCCATGGAGCCAAAGTCTTTGCCATTGTCTTTTGGTATACGAATGGGCTCCATGGCTTAGCTATCTGGGGTAACACTGCTCACATAGGGAAAATAAAAGGTTTTTAATGCAGGGCCATAGTCCAGTGGCAAGAGGTGGGCAACCAGGCTTCTCCAGTGGCCAGTGGCCAGTGGCGAGGTTGGTTCCGCCACAGCCTCTGTCCTCCAGGACCGTGCGGGAAACACCTCTCCTCCAGGAGAGCGTATCAGGAACAGCTCTTACAAGAGCTAAGTGATTAAAGCTCAGGGGAGTATACAAGTATAACAATCCCCAGTGTGAATATAGCTGTACCCTCCAATCATGAGACAAGACTACGTGTTGAGGGTCAAGAAGATCTATTTTATTCAGCAACAAAGGGATTTCTTTTATGCAAGTTTTACACACAAAGTAACACCCACATGGTCTTGTGGAACAGCCAATCAACACGTACAATACAGTCAAACACTCCAATTAATTCCAGCAAAATCCTCCCCTCTGCCTGTGATAGAATTACTGTACACAATTGGCTAATGTAATTATCGCAGGCAGGAAAATACAGTTTTTATACAACTCCTATAACTTTAAAAGTACACATGCAATATTAATAAAAGTTACATATTCAAACTCAACATACTTTAAATAGAAACATATCCAAAAATCAGACAATTCCCTCCAGTGGTTTAAAAGTTCCATGGAAGTCTCTTTTTGACCAACCAAGCACATTTTCATGCCCAAAACAGTTCCAGAGAATCAGGCTGTGCGGCCGGTCTATTTCCCATGTTAAAGTCAGTTCAAACAGACGATCGACAACCATCCGAATTGTTGAACGAACTTTCGAACGAATTGTCGAATGAGTTGAAGTCTGGAGAAGGTAAAACTTTAGCGGTATTCGTGCCGTTTTGTAGCCGATTTTAGTTCCATGAATTTGACGGCACACACCGCTGACCGCGTTCGACCAAATAAAGATGGCCGCCGCCACGTGTTTGGTTGTAGGATGGCGGCCACTTCAACTACTTCGGCACTTCAGCTGCATCCGTAGTGCCAATTTAAAGTTGCAGAATTGTTCCAGTACCATCTAAAGGGCCAGAACAGTCTTTTAAAACACCAATAAGTCCATATAGTGTTTAACTGGCAAATTCTCCCAGGGACCATAGTCACAAGGCTGGAGGCTGGCAAGCAGGCCTCTCCAGGACTAAGTGGTAAAGGGCACTTCATCACAGATTCCACCTCTCATTCCCCCCTTTGGTGTTCCCCCTGTCCTCTCTTCTCGGTGTCCCCCCGTCCCCTTCCTCTGTGGTCCCACAGTCATTACAAATGGGGAGCCTCGTGCCATTTAAAGCACGAATGCTCCACTTGCGGGAGTGCTCATCCCGTTTCCCAATGTTTCAAGCGGGGAAAAGCTAGCAAGAAACGGTATCTGGGGTCTAAAGGCGACGACGACAGTGGTTGTAACCGCAATGCGCCCATGGATTGCCAGTTATAGGAAGCATCAGACAGCCAATGTCCTGTTGGACGGCTTTGAGCATGGTTTCTGGATTCCTTCCACTTGTCGCCCCCCTTCGCTCCTAGTTCAGAACCTACGGTCGTTGCAGGATTTCCTGGATGTGGTTCGGGAGAAGATTAGTAAGGAGGTGTCTCTGGGTCGCATGACGGGACCCTTTAGAGAACTCCCTTTACCGGGTGGGGTGCCCAAAAGGAGCAGGGAAAATACAGTTTGATTCATCATTTGTTGTACCCTCGCAGGGTTTGGTGAATGATGACATCTCTTCTGAACACTACCGGGTGTCCTACCCGTCCTTTGACGCGGCAGCCCTGGGGCCTTGTTGGCCAAAGCCGGTGTGAAATTGGCTTTCTGACACTCCCCCCTGGACCTGAGAGTAAATCACAGTATAAATGTGACAAATTGCACTTAGCCACTGGGTTTTGGAGAGGACTACTTGCTAGCCTTTTACCCTGGGACTATGGGCCCTGTGATAACCCATGTTTCTGCCCTTTGGACTTTTAACTGGAACAGATTCAAACATGTGGCGGCGGCCATCTTAAATTGACCAGCAGTGTTTTGTCGTTGAGTGCATGGAACTGTTTTGGGCATGGGACCATGTGCACGGTGGGGCAAAAATAAGTCTTCCCCTTATCTGGTTGATCAACATATCCAAAAATCACCCAGATCAGTTCGGGTGTTCAGGACTTTCCTGGAAGTCATTTATTTGACCGACCACATGCATGATCCCATGCCCAAAACAGTTCCAGAGAATCAGGGCTTGCGGTCGGTCTAGTTCAGTAGTTTGAAAATGAACAAACTACCAAACAGAGTCAATAGTTTTACCCTGGAGCTTGTTCCCCTTATCCCGACGAATGATTTCACCAAAGAGTGCCCTTCTAAGGTGTATAGAACTGAACGCAGGTGATGATGGAATTCCAGCGGTGTTCGGGAGTTTCTGTGTTCGATTTTAGTTCCATGAGATTCATGCTCAAACACTGCTGCCTGCGTTCATGCGAACAAGATGGCTGCCACCTTGTGGTTGTCCATAGGAATTGCGGTCACACAGACGAACAATTAGAACACTGTGGTGAGAAACGTTCCAAGTTGGTAATAGATGTTAATAAGCTCCAGGGTGGTTTATACGGTTGTTCGGTAACCTAACCATATAATCCCAATTGGAGGTCATTTCCCGTAACTACTGGCAGTGGGCCCACAGTCAGTGAGCCATGGAATGCTGCCGTATTAAACTAAATAGGAAGGTCTTTAAGTTTGTCTTTGGGGTAAAAGGGATCCTGGTTCACCACAGGGTGTTTCTAACCGGAGTCAGCTAATTTAGTTAAAGGTGATGGAGTTCACCTCATGGAGGTCAAGCTCAACCTTTTTAATCTTGCTATCCAGGAAGAGGTCGAA